CCACAAGGCAGCAGAGGTTTAGGATCAGAGATTTCATTCTCCTAGATGGGCCAGATGGGCTACCTTCCTAGACTGACAACCCCCATCTCACTTCACTCTACGGCATGTGCAGAAACCGCCTTGACTGTTGGACCCACTCTTGGTCTCATCCGCTCAATCCACCAGAGCCTGTCTTTGAATGCAGGGGAAGCCCTAACTCACAGAGAGATTGAGACCCATCAGCTCCGCTCACTGGCCAGTCAAAGCTGTTCTCAGGGCATGCTGACAGCTTCTTGGAGCCCCTCCCCAAACACCCCATGCACCCCCAAAAAAGGATATTATAGAGCTGGAAAGGGGGCAGAAAGGGGTGACCAACATGTTTAAGGGGCTGGAGCAACTCCTCTGTGGGCTACAGTTACCACATTTGGGGCTCTTTAGTTTAGGGGGGAAAGACAAGTAAGGAGGGAGGCTGGGATACTGCTGTAGAAAACTATGTGTGGTGTAGGAAAAGTAACACCAGAACCCAGGGCCTTCCGGGGAAGAGGCGCAGACAAAGCCAAGCGTTTCTGTGATCACCAATAGTCAGCATGGATTTCTGAAAAATAAGTCGTGTCAGACTAACCTGATCTCGTTTTTTGACAGAATTACAAGCCTGGTAGATGAAGGGAACGCAGTGGATGTAGCCTACCTTGATTTCAGCAAGGCATTTGACAAGGTGCCCCATGATATTCTTGTAAAGAAGCTGGTAAAATGTGGTCTTCATGATGCTACCACTCAGTGGATTTGTAACTGGCTGACTGACCGAACCCAAAGGGTGCTCATCAATGGTTCCTCTTCATCCTGGAGAAGAGTGACTAGTGGGGTGCCACAGGGTTCTGTCTTGGGCCCGGTCTTATTCAACATCTTTATCAACGACTTGGATGATGGACTCAAGGGCATTCTGATCAAATTTGCAGATGACACCAAACTGGGAGGGGTGGCTAACACCCCAGAGGACAGGATCACACTTCAAAACGACCTTGACAGATTAGAGAACTGGGCCAAAACAAACAAGATGAATTTTAACAGGGAGAAATGTAAAGTATTGCACTTGGGCAAAAAAATGAGAGGCACAAATACAAGATGGGTGACACCTGGCTTGAGAGCAGTACATGTGAAAAGGATCTAGGAGTCTTGGTTGACCACAAACTTGACATGAGCCAACAGTGTGACACGGCAGCTAAAAAGCCAATGCAATTCTGGGCTAGCGTCAATAGGAGTATAGCATCTAGATCAAGGGAAGTAATAGTGCCACTGTATTCTGCTCTGGTCAGACCTCACCTGGAGTACTGTGTCCAGTTCTGGGCACCACAATTCAAGAAGGACACTGACAAACTGGAACGTGTCCAGAGGAGGGCAACCAAAATGGTCAAAGGCCTGGAAACGATGCCTTATGAGGAACAGCTAAGGGAGCTGGGCATGTTTAGCCTGGAGAAGAGGAGGTTAAGGGGTGATATGATAGCCATGTTCCAATATATAAAAGGATGTCACATAGAGGAGGGAGAAAGGTTGTTTTCTGCTGCTCCAGAGAAGCGGACACGGAGCAATGGATCCAAACTACAAGAAAGAAGATTCCACCTAAACATTAGGAAGAACTTCCTGACAGTAAGAGCTGTTCGACAGTGGAATTTGCTGCCAAGGAGTGTGGTGGAGTCTCCTTCTTTGGAGGTCTTTAAGCAGAGGCTTGACAACCATATGTCAGGAGTGCTCTGATGGTGTTTCCTGCTTGGCAGGGGGTTGGACTCGATGGCCCTTGTGGTCTCTTCCAACTCTAGGATTCTATGATTCTTTACACTGCGCAAAGTTAGACGATGTAATTTGCTTCCACAAGATGTAGTGATGGCCATCAACTTGGAAAGTGTTAAAAGGGAATGACAACCATGTCTATCAGCATATTTGTGTGTGTGTATACTGTATATTAAATTTCTGTCTCATTTTTCTTTTTTCATGGAACCCAGATTGGTATATATATGGTATCCAGGTACTGACCAGACACAGGAGTTTCAGCAAGGTCACAGTGGCCTCTTGTGCCTTAAGCTAAGCGCTGCTGGATCACACCAAAGGCTTTGCCCAGTCTGCTCTTTGGGCACTTAGAAGGTATCCATAGAAAACAAAGAACTACATGCAGCAGGCTGATGTGAGAAGGACCAAAGCGTTCTGCTCCTCTTCTGGGACCATCTCCCCCACAAATGGGTTACCAAATGAAGGAGAGGCCCTCCTCCACAGTCCAAAACAGCTCTTGTTTTGTATTTGTTTTGTTCTTTTCAGGTTAGCAACTTTTTTGGATTTTCTTACAATTTCCTTATATATTTACAATTAGTGGTATGAGGGGAATTTTAAAATATGCAGGAGCAATAAAATTAGAAACATTATATGCTTTTTTACACACATTTCTATGGTAAAAGTATCTGTATATCATGCACAGATGTTATATGTGGCAGTCTTGCTACATGGACAGGCAGAAAAACTAACATACATGTCATTGTTACAAGGTTATAACATTCCTTTTTAAACACAATATTTTTTTAATCCATCAAATCTTCAATGGTAGTAATAAATCTTGAAACTGGTGTTGAACCTTGATTGAAGTCCTTTTTTTGCACTTGGATGTTTTCTGTTTGGCCTGTTTGGCTTGTGGGTGTCATATATGTGGTAGAATTGGCCTCTTGCCCGGTGGTTGGTCAAAAGTGAACTCAACCAAGGAAGGTGCTACCTTCATCCCCAAAACACGGACTCTGCTCTGTTTGGTTGGTTGGCCTGCCCCTGGGACACAAGGGCAGAGAGCTGGCAAGGTTTCATAGGGGAGGAATGCAGGGCCAGCCTTGGGTCAACTCACTCTCCCTGAAAGAAGCTGCGGTCCAAAGTGCAGCCAAGGAGAGGGTAGCAGGAGCTGCATCTCTTGAGTCTCAAGGTTCTTTACAACTAGAAGGAGCAAGTGAAAAGCTAACCAATATTTGGCCACGTTAACTGATCTTGGGCCTATGGAAGAGAACCTTTAAACCTAAAGATTTCATTCCCTAATAGCTGTGCACAGAGACATGGAAATAAATTATGGTGTTAATGCACAGTTTCATATTCCACAGAGCAACATGGACTTCCACAGGAGCACCAACCATGCCAGCCAGAAATTCCCTGAGAGCCCAAAGGAACACATTAGATCCCATCAACCTTTAGGGTGGGACCTAATCGACCTCTTCTTCCTATGGTGGACAGCAGCAGCTGGAGGCCCAAACCACCCCAGGATGTGGTGCAATGGCAATGGCAAACTCCCGCAGTTCCAGCTGACCCCGTCTCCACCAAGTCAAGAACATCCAGGACGACCTGCCACATAATGGGGCAGACTCACAGTTCTAGACTGAGGGGCTTCTCAGAATGCAAAAAGTTACAGCACGTCTATTAGGTGTTTCTGAGCATGGAGAAAGATTCACTAAGGGCATGGAACAAAGTTTAATTCCCTGACTGTTAGTTTTCAAAGCCATTTTCCTGCCCAACAAAGACAAGTCATTTATATGAATCAGAAATAAACATAAAATGCCCCTCAGTTATAGAAATCAGAAAAAATCCCAGTCAGATGGGTGGTATATAAATAATAAATTATGGCATATGAATATGTTGTTGTTGCTGCTGCTGCTGTTGTTGTTATTATTATGTACTCCATCTGTCATATCTTTCCTACACAAAATAAATAATTTCAGTGAAAGAAAATGAACTACTACAGTGTGTTTTTCTTACTTCACTTAGGGCTTATGGTAGACTTCATGCACATTTTCAAGTATGGATATTTTCCCATGTAGGACATTATCATTCACGCGCGCACACAAATAGCTGAAAGAAACATGTAAGGTATAATTCAGCAAAAGTTAATGCTGGCAAAGTTCTTCTGGCAACAATGGGATGGGATGGGACATGCAACACAGCACTGCGCACCGTTACTTGGAAGTAAGTCCCCCTGCTTTCAATAGGACTTAACTATTAGGAAAGTGTGCCGAGGATTGCAGCCTTAATTGTGCTAAACAAGCCCTCTTAATCTCAGTAGGGCTTAGATGTGACCAGGTTTTGCTGCATTGTGCTCATATTTATAACTTCCAGGTAGATCAAGAGAACCCACTATTAGGGCTGCAGCCTGAACTAATGTAGGTCACAACCATAAAAATGAATGGGTTTTTTTTCTGAAGAAAAATAAGAAGTTTTTGTGGGTTTCCAAATGGATGTTTGGGCTAAAGGCGGGTGTCAGGGATAACAATAAGATATGGTTTCTGAGCTACGTGGCTAAGGCTTAAATTGCACATCCAGTGGTGTCAGTGATAACAAAAGGTTGCAGGTTATACCTGAAATTCTGTCTGCCATGCAACACAGCAGTCTCAAGAAGAATCCTAGAATAAAATTTCTACCAGTGGAGAAATTGTTGAGCCAAGCATTCATATCCACAGTCGCATTTTTTAGATTCAGGTAGGGAACCTTTGTTTGCCTTGGGATATGAAATATTAGGGTTAGCTGGGCAGAAACTTTCCATATCCCACCATTTTGCCTTTACTTGAGCATTGCATTGATGGTGCAATCCTATATGCCAGATCATAACCAGTGGCAAGGTTGGCCATCAGACTTGCCACCCTAGGCATGCAGCTAACGAACACAATTCCTAGAATCACTACTGCAATACTTCTGCCACCAGCACACTACAGCACAGGTTTCCTAAAATACACCCGAGGGAAGCCTCTTCTGGACCATATCAAAGGTCTCTTCCCGTACCAAGCGGAGTTCATGACGAGTGCAAAAAATGTGACATTTCCCATATACATTCCTGTGATGAATTAACCTCTGCCTGAAAAGCGTTGCAGAGCTTTACCCCATGCTCAGTTTATTTGCAGACGGGACAATTTCCCACTCCACACCATTCCCACCCACCCCCACATCTACCCGCCCCCGCCCCCCGCCCCGGATTCCCCCATAGAAGTATGTCATTGGGTGCCGTCTTTGGAAAACTACCCCAGAAATGACCACGGCGCTTCTCTTTGCTGTTGAGGACAAGGAAGGAAGTGCTGCCTCTTTAACGGGCAAAAGCATGCAGTTGAGAGCATACCTTCAATTTAGTGTTGGGATAGCTCACTTGCACCCTGGCTGTTGTCTTATTGGAGAGGGCAGCCTGCCTCAGATCCTCTAGCACTGAAATTATATCATCCAGCACGCATTTCTTATCCTGATTTCTCAACACACACAGATGGGAAAAAGTATAATTATAGCCTTTGTGGTTCACCTTCATTTCCAGCACGGCTCGGTGGATGCGCAGCAGTCCTTCTGCCTGATGCAGAATATTGCCTCCGGGCTTGCAGAGGGCGATCAGGCGGCCATACCGCCCCGGGGTGTGCAAGTCCGAGTAGAGGCGGCTTTTGGAGCGGTCCAGCGGGAAGAGGCTGTTGGCCAGGCTGCGCTCGATCTTGGCCAGGCTGTGGCTGGGCGCCACCAGGCGCTCCAGGTCGGTCTCGGGCTGGAAGCGGTGCAGGGCGCTGAAGCCGAAGATGAGCGTCAGCACTGCGGGCACCGTCAGGAAGAAGACCGGGTGGCGGCTGACGAACAAGCCCAGCTGGTGGCACGACGAGCGGAGCCCTCTGTGGATCGCCTGCCGCAGCATCCTCCTCCGCCCCAGCCGGCGCCAGGCTGCCGGCGCCGAGCGGGCAAGCGCACCTTCCGCGGGGCTCCGCGCCGGATCCGCCTGCCGCGTGCACGCCCGGCGCGCGCCCCCGCTCCGCCGCCCCCCGCCCGCCCGCCCGCGCGCCCGCGCGCCCGCGCCGTTCAAACACTGCAGCAAGTTGCAGCAGCGCGGAGGAGAAGGAGCGAGGGAGGGAGAGGGCAGGGCTTCCCTGGCTGGCTGGCTGGCTGCCTCTCGCCCGCCCGCCCGCCCGCTGGCGCGGATCCCCCACCAGCATCCTGCAGCAGCCCCCCCCCCCCGGCCCTCCCGAGGCGATCCTGCCCAGCCACCGAGGGACTCGGCCGGGCTCGGCCCAGCGCCGCTCCGGACTTAGGGGGGGGGGGGAGCCGGGGCCTTCCTGCTGCGCCCCATCCCGGGCGGCCAGGCTCCGGCCGGGCTGCTGCCCCGGAGCGCCGCCTGCCTGCGGGCTGGATCCCCGCTGCTCGCCGCCCCAGGATCCGCCGGGCTCGGAGGCCCTTCCCGGCGGCTTCGCTTTTTCCTCGCTGTTGGGGACTGTTCCGTGTTTCCGCTTTCCCCAGCCCAATTTCAGCCCAAATAAATGTGTTTCAGTAAAATGAACGAACAATGTGGTATGTTTGCAGAAGCACACGACGCATGCAGTATTCACAAATCGGTACTCACACACGTGTACTCAGTATAGATGGCAAAGGCCAAACATTTGGAGTACTGACTTCTCCCAGCTACTCTTCACAAGCTCTGCAAAAAGTGCCAGAAATCTGTGTCCTTATACCCCCTCTAATTTCCTGAATTTATCTAATCCTTTTTAAAGCTATCTATGTCTGCTGACACCACTCTTCCTTGTGGCGATGAATTCTATAAATCAATTATGCTGTGTGTCAAGAAGCACTTCATCTTGGCTTGACTGAATCCACGGCTAGGCAATTTCGCCGGATGACCCTGGAGCCAATGTGCCAAATGTTTCCTCGTGGTGAGCTTATATGAAGATGTGACGGTTGCCACCCCTTTCCTGGCTGACGGTGGTATCCTGGGGTGGCCAACTGAGGTGGGGGCCTGCTGGATCTGGCCTCCTGGTCTCCTCCAGATGCTCCTCATGGGAAGCCCTCCAGACCTGAGCGCAGGGTCCTCCTGAGTTTCCCACCAAGGGGCCTTCAGAATCCTGCTGCTTCTGACCCTGGAGCCAGAGCGTGGTCTTCGGGGCCAGGATCCATTCCATAGCAGGAAGCAAAGAGCATGAAGAAATGGACAGGTTTCCCAAGGATCAGTACTGGGACCTTCTCACGCCACCACCCCCCAAAAGAACATGAGCTCCTGCCCGTGGGAGGGAAGGTGGTGGCTGAAGAGGGAGAAGCAGTGTTGCTCTGTTGTCTGGGACCACCCTCACACCAGCCTTCTCCCACGTTAAGAGGCGGGCGCAGCTCTGAGCTGGGCATTCTGCTCGGGGCTTTAAACCCTCTTTGCTTTCACTGCCACCAGAGATGCCAAGAGGCAAGGGTGCCCAATACAACCATTTGACTGAGAACAGAAGTAATAAAACATGGTTAAATCATAAAGGATACATTGGGCAATGGATATATGTCATAATATTGGCATGACAGCGTGAGAAAGACTCTGGAATGGAGATTTAAAATTCACAGCTTGCTATGCATTAAAAGAAAATTATATAAAGATGATGTACAGAGGGTACTTGATGCCTAGTAAGCTAGCTAAAATGTAGAAGTCTGAATCCAATATTTGTTGGAAATGTAAAGAGAAAGAAGGTAACTTTTTCATATGTGGTGCTCGTGTGAGATTGCAAAAGCTTTCTCAGAAATGATTCATAATGAATTGAAAAAAGTGTTGAAAATAACATTTGTTTAAAAACCAGAAGCTTTTCTTTTAGGTATATTTGGAGAAGAGGTGCTGAAAGACCAGAAAATACTATTTATGTATGCAACCACAGCTGCCTGAATGATATACCGTATGTCCAAAACTGGAAAGAGGAACTGGCTCCAAAAAGAGGCAACTGACAGTTAAAACTGATGGAATACACAGAGATGGCAAAACTTAACAAAAGAATAAGAGATCAAGAGGACAGACTTTTGCGACAGAATGGGGAAAATTTATCGAACATATGAAAACAAATTGTAAATAGTTAACAGGACTGATATAAACATGAGCAGTAAAATTTTAAAAAGAATTATAAAGGATAAATTTGTAAAAAGGATAAATTTGGATATGCAGTAAGAAAATAATGGAAAAATAAGAAACCGTAGAAGAGGAGGGAGGAAAGTTGCAGAAAATATTATTTGATTTGTGTAGATTTATATTCAATGTTGAATGTTGTAAAATGGAAAATAAAATTATTATTTTTTAAATCAAGACTCAAGGTTACATATTTCCAGCTGAACTCAAGAGGACTAAAGAATATTTTACTTTGCCTGGGTTATGCCTAGACTTTGTCAGTAATTAAAACTTTGCCACCGCTGTGTTGTTATTAGAAAGTTCTAAGCCCCTTGGAAACTCTTTTATGGATAAATTGGAAACAATTTATGAATACAGAAAAGTCTATCCGACTCTGAAAAGATAAGATCTTCAGTGTCATGTATTCTCATGCTTTGAATATCGCTAAACCTTAGATTGACAGGAACTGGGAGTGAATGACAGGAGGTGAGTGGATTACTCCATTATTGTCAGTAAGCTCTTTCTTGGACACTTGGAGAAGATGGAGAAACGTAAGCAGGTGACAGAACCATTCTGCCTCTGCTTTGCCTCTGTCTTTTACCACAAGGGAAACTGCTTGTCCTAGCAGAAAACAGATCGAATGGTTAAGATTGTGTAACACACTAGACCTTTCAAACAAGTTTCTCCATTCAAATAATTTTGTTTTGTTTTTTTAAAAGATATTTATTAGTTTAAGAATTACAAAAAAAAGAAATACAAGCAATGAACAGTTACAAAACCTCAAAAACAAAAGAAAATACAATAAAACAAAACAACAACAGTACATCAAAACATTAAAAAAGAAAAAACAAACATTTAAAAAACATAAACCTTTGAAAAAATAGAAGGGGAAAAAGAAAAAAAAGAAAAAAAGACCCCGTATTTTCATGTCCTTATCTTTCATTTGCTTATTTCCTCGACTTCCTCACACCTCCTTTTTTGTATTCTAGTTCAATTAATTATTCCAGCAAGTCCTTTCCCTCTTTCTCAAATTTAGTTCCATAATTTATCTTAACGCAATTTAACCTTAAGTTTTGCACCTTTACCCATTGTCAATCTATTCATACTTAATTCTTTATAACATTTCTGCTAAAGTCATATAACTTCTTTCCAGCATCCTTCTAACATTCATTAATTTTACAATATTTCTGTAAATATACTTTAATTTTTTTCCAATCTTCTTCCACCGACTCTTCTCCCTGGTCTCGGATTCTGCCAGTCATTTCCGCCAGTTCCGTGTAGTCCATCAGCTTCATCTGCCATTCTTCCCTGGTGGGTAGATCTTCCAGTGCTTTGCGATAAGTATTCTTGCTGCTGTTGTGGCATACATGAAAAAAGTTCTATCCTTCTTTGGCACCAATTGGCCTACCATGCCCAGGAGAAAGGCCTCTGGTTTCTTTAGAAAGGTATATTTAAATACCTTTTTCATTTCATTATAGATCATCTCCCAGAATGCCTTAATCTTTGGGCATGTCCACCAAAGGTGAAAGAATGTACCTTCAGTTTCATTACATTTCCAACATTTATTATCGGGCAAATGGTAAATTTTTGCAAGCTTGACTGGTGTTATGTACCACCTGTAAATCATTTTCATTAAATTCTCTTTTAAGGCATTACATGCCGTAAACTTCATACCAGTGGTCCATAACTGTTCCCAGTCAGCTATCATAATATTATGTCCAACATCTTGTGCCCATTTAATCATAGCAGATTTCACCATTTCATCTTGAGTATTCCATTTCAGCAGCAAGTTATACATTCTTGACAAATTCTTAACTTTAGGGTCTAACAATTCTGTTTCCAATTTTGATTTTTCCACCTGGAAGCCTAATTTTTGGTTCAAATTATATGCCTCCATTATTTGATAGTAATGGAGCCAATCTCGTACTCTGTTTTTTAATTTTTCAAAGCTCTGCAATTTTAATCTGTCTCCCTCTTGTTCCAAGATTTCCCAATACTTCGGCCATTTGGCCTCCATATTGAGTTTTTTCTGAGCCTTTGCTTCCATTGGTGACAGCCATCTTGGGGTTTTGCTTTCTAGCAAATCCTTATATCTTACCCAAACATTAAACAGTGCTTTTCTAACAATATGGTTTTTGAACGCTTTATGTGCTTTAACCTTGTCATACCACAAATATGCATGCCAACCAAATACATTATTGAAACCTTCCAAATCCAACACATCCGTATTTTCAAGAAGCATCCATTCTCTCAGCCAACAAAATGCGGCTGATTCATAGTAAAGTTTAAGGTCTGGCAGGGCAAATCCACCTCTTTCTTTAACATCTGTTAATATTTTAAATTTTATACGAGGCTTCTTGCCCTGCCAGACAAATCTAGAGATATCTCTCTGCCACTTCTTGAAACAGTCCATCTTGTCCAAAATTTGCAATGTTTGAAACAAAAATAATATTCTTGGCAATACATTCATTTTAATCACAGCAATTCGACCTAGCAATGATAGCTTCAAATTTGACCATATTTCTAAATTCTTTTTCACTTCCGTCCAACATTTTTCATAGTTATCCTTAAATGAATTCACATTCTTAGCAGTCATATTTACCCCTAAATATTTCACTTTCTTAACCAATGTCAATCCTGTCTCCTTCTGGAACTTGTCTCTCTCAATCTCATTTAGATTTTTCTCCAAAACTTTAGTTTTCGTCTTATTCAACTTGAAACCTGCTACCTGGCCAAATTCTTGAATCAATTCTAATACTCTTTTTGTGCTTGATTCTGGCTCCTGTAAAGTCAATACCAAA